TCTCTCCATAGCTATATATTATTTTCAAATATCTCAGTCTCACAAGCCATAATGTCCAGAAACTAGCAAATGGCCCCTATCCACATTGGTTTGCTTCCTTCCCTACCCTTTGCCGTTAATTTGTGTGCATTGAAAGATCTCAACTAGTTGGACAATCTAGTCCATATCTTTCCAAGCTATCCCACAATGGAGGAATAATGGAAATGAGATTCACTTTCTTTAAAGCATGTGACACAAATATCCAGAGATAGAATGCAATGAAGACGATGGATTTGAAACATCTCATTGATATTGAGTCTTTGATACATAGCTGTTCAAGTAAGTAACTTTACCTTTGACGATACCGGCGCTTTCCAGAATATATTAGTAATGTGAAACCAACTTAATGAATGGTTAATGATGAGGTACGCAAAGAAAGACTTACATGTGTTGTATACCCTGATGGTTCTAAAGACCAGGTTCTGGTGTCCAGTAATTTCAAAAGATTTTACAATTGAAGGGTCTCCTTATCTGAAAGGCTCCATATAGAATGGAAGCTCCAGGCCACAATTCCCTCACTGACGGAAATGAAGTGTGAGACTGGGACACAGTGTCCAGATGGTTAAACAAGCAAAGGAATTGAGAGGCTGAAGGTTCTCCCACCTAGGAGTCTTCTCAAAACATAATCCTAGATCCATTTCACAAATGTAATCTGGTTAGGGGCAGAGATAAAGGAATGGATTGGCTGATGGATTTTCAAGGGTTCCAGTGGGAAATGGATCGTCCTGCTATAATATCCATTCATCCCTGCTGCTCCCATGGATACTGTTTATAACTCTATGCCACAAAGAGTTTGGTTCTCGTGGGAAGTGTCAAAGCTATTTTGCCAATAAGATGAGTTCGTTTCTTAAAGATTCCCAAGACTTGATTCTCTCGAATTTTTGGACTTACAACACATCTCCATTTCACTAGATGGTTCCAAAATCTCCATCATCTGCTCCTGCCCACAAAAGTTTTCTCATTCTTTTGCTCAATTCTATCTGCTACCCCCATGATGGAACAAGGATAAAGAATAGAGCAGTATATTGGATGGACATGCTTGCATCAAGTCATCCTAATTTCTAGAAAAAAAGGCCCCTTTCCAACTCTTCAGCTGATTTGCTACTTTTACTCTTCAACCCTTCCCAAAAATGGTTATTCTCTGAGTTACCACCTAAGGGGACCCCTAGGTATGTCAAAGGCCAATCATTCCTCACACACTATATTAACCCTGCTAGTCTCAGTATAGTTTGTTCCTCCATATTAATTCCTGCCAGATCACTTTTCCCAAATTGATTTTTTACTCCTGATATATGTTCATAAACTTGGATATGAGTGAGAGTGTCCCTAATTGATCTATTATCATGTTCCAAAAGTATAGCACCATCAGCACACTAAAGGTGCGAAACCTCAATCCTATCCTTCCCCGCCAGTAGTCCTTCACCCTTTGTTGCTCATTTGTACTGGATAGCATCTTACTCAACACATCCACCCTTAAGACAAGGCGGAAAAAGGATAAAACTAAAGAAATCTCAAAATTGAAAATCGAAAATTTTCATGCAAAATTACCTAGATAAAATCACAAAGATAAAATATAACACTTAAGGACTTAGATGCAACCTTCTTAGTACTACAATAGATTGACAGTAGAAATCTCTTTCATGGCAACTATAGCTAACATGATACAAACAAATAAACATCACATACCTGGAGGTTACTTTATAGTAGCAGTTCCAGGCAGTAAAGCTATAAGGATGCTGCTGAACAATGTATTTTATACAGTCAAACCCATGCTTAGGATCCACGGTGTTGTATGCCATTTCTGTAAAATTGGAGGGAAAGTCAGCTTTAGCAAGGCCAGGAAAGTAGATAATAATTCTTCTTTTGAAATATAAAGAGGAAAGTAGATAATAATTCAAAAACTGCTAAAGAACATTTGATATTATGCTTTCCATTAAATAGAATAACTAAACAGATTTACTAAAAAAACCCATGAAGAAACAGTAAGTGGAATTAATCTCAAGGAATTACGAGCTCCAAGGGACCGAAGCTCCTCCTTCTTCTCAGCAGGAAAAGC